CCAGGCAATTGCCAGGAATTGTTAAGTCTGAGAAAGTGCACGCAAACACACACACACACACACACACACACACACACACACACACACACACACACACACACACAGAGCTGTTTATACAACATGAATTTGTCACATATTCTTCTGAATGTACAGTTTCTCTTGGCAAGGTTTTCATTTAGTGACTACAGTTCTCATTTAGTGACTAGAGTTATAGCTGGCAATACCATAATTAAGCAAAGCAGTTGCCAAGTGAAACGATCACTGTGCTTATAATCTTAATTCCCTTTGCTTTTACAGACCTATAAAGTTCCATCAATGCAAGGACTGGTTGTAAAGCTATTTTTTTTCCTCATCACTGCCATCATTGTGAATGGTTATTAAACAAGGCAGTCACTAAATGAGGACTATCTGCATTATCAGTACTCTTAAGTGGAAAATAGTGTGTGATTTAAAAAAAAATGGTATCTTTTAAGAAAATGGAGAGCAGCCTTTAATGCTGCTTAATGGTAGTATGAAAGTTAGTGGTGGCCCAGTTTGATGACTGAGGAAGTGTTTAAACAGATATTTCCCATGCCTTTACGGTTTAAGATCTATCAAATCCATCCCACTAACTATTCTCTGTGTTGTTATTTTCAAATTTTGAAGAAGAAAATCTGGGGGTACCACTTGCCTATCTCAGCTTAACGTTCCCTTACATTGGCATCCATTCACATATCTCTGTTTTGTTTCTTATTACAACACTGGAGTATGGAGGATCTGATGTCTTTAGAAATATGATGGAGACTGACTGCTACAAATTGCTCATTGGAAATCAGTTTGAGAATTCATAATCTTAACTGGCCATTTTGTCAATTTCAGCAATTCTAAGAACAGCCTTTTATGTCTGTGGATGGGTGAATGGGTTTTGCCAAGTGCACATCATCATAGAAATACAGATAACTGCTGTCAAAATATCGAAGCAGTTTCTCAGAGAGTAATTGAAAAAAAATCACAATTATAGAAAACCCTTTTGGATTTTCTATAATTTTTCTATAATTGAAATGGGTTTTCTATCATGTAAAGCTCAACATGTTCCCAGAAACTATTGAATTGTGTTCAACATATTTGAAATCAGGTTATAATTAAACTAGATTAAAAGGATATAGAATTTTATCAACTTTTAGCTTTTGCAGAAAACTGATACAATAGCATGATCAACAAAAATGTAGATTAACTGCCTTCTGATGACATCTCTTTTCCTCACCCTTAAAAGCTATTATGACTACTGAAGAATTTCAGTTCCAAGAGACCGAGGAAGAACAAGATAAATCAAACAGTCTATTCTTCACTAATTCAGAAAGAAATGAATTAAATGATAATCCATTGAGGTATGATTTAAAAAAGTATTGTGAAACTTTAAAATCTTCAACAGTCAAATGTAAATCCAAAATGGGTTGGATACTATCTATGAACATATTTCCCCCCATAAAAGGTTGATTTTTAGCATAACATTTACAAAAAACTACAATCTTGCACCTATCAGGAAATATGTCACAGTAATAGTAGCTACAACCACATAAAATATTATTGATGGTGCAGGTTTGTGCCCAATGCAACTAAAATGACATTTTGGAGATGATTTGCTTGCTGTCTTGCATTGATCTTGTTCATATGTGTTAATGTGTTGTTTGAATAACAATCTAAATCATAGTTTGGTTTACAGTTTGCAATGGTTAGTTTCACATAACTGATTTATGCTACAAACAGACTTTATTAGGGATTAGTATGATAGATGAATGCAGTTGGAAAACAAAATTGATAATGGAAATAAATCATTTATGACATTTAAAAATCGATTTAATTGTTGTATTGGGACAGTATAGACATTTTGTTAATAAAAAAACTGTAGAAGTAACATGAAAATTATATGAAATACTATTCTCTGCAATCCATTGGCTTCCGTTGTTTTGAATATGGTGAAGTGAGGTGGCAGTCAAATTTTCTTGGACTAGATCTGGCATGTGAGTTGTGTATAGATTCAAGAAACTCCATAATTATTGTAATTTGCACACTTCATTATGAAAATAATTTTATTTGTAATATAATCAGCTCTGCCTATGCATAGAAACTGTTAATTTTATACTGTAAGACATCTCAATTTTTGTTTTTCTGAAAATATAGGAAAGATTCTCCTAAAACACTTCTTCCCAATGCAAATGTAAGCGGAGGAAGGCCAGATAGCAAAGCCTCAAATTACTTTATAGCCCTAGATTCAACTATTGAAAGTCTTCAGGAAAGAACACAGCAACTAATTGATAAGATTAATGAGAATAGGAAGAAAGACCATGTACTCATGAACAACTTCAGGGAAAGTCTTCTGATGAAGGTAAAACAGGAACAAAGCTGGTGGTAAAAACATTCAGACGTTTTGAGAAATAGAAAATAATTATTAAATTTAATTTTCCAAATTATTCCAAAGAACTAACTCCTAAAAGTGAGAGAGCCTCATTTTTCAAATACTCTGAAAAAGATAACTAAATTCATCATGAATGTTTGCTGTACTTTCCCCACCCTTTCCTAATCTGTGTTTGTAATTCATTATCTTTTTGCTTTTAATCAAAATGATGGCAAGACCTTGACAACATGGCTCAAGTTGAAAAAAATTAAGCATGACCTAATCTGGTTAGAACATGGAGAGAAAATCATTAGGAAATTCTCTGGCTGTAGATTAGACCTACATGATATAAAAAAATGTCGAGACCTTTGAAAGAATGCAGAAAGAGCAAAAAAAAGGGGGGGGATCTGGAGGCTAAACCATATGATGAACAGTTGAGAGAACAAGGTATCTCTAGTTTAATGAAGAGTACAACTTAGGGGTGACAGAATAGCAGTCTTCCAATACTTGAGGGGCTGTCAGAGAAGAGGGGATCAACCTATTTTCCAAAGCATCTGAGGACAGGACAAGGAATAAGAAGTGGGAGATCGTTAAAGAGAGATCCAATCTAGAATTGCCTCCTGGTAAGGACAATTAAAAGGTGAACTGGCCTGTCTCCAGAAGTTCTGGGTTCTCCATCGCTGAAGGTTTTCAAGAATAGAGTAGGGGGTTGGACTAGAAGACCTCCAACAATCCTTCCAACCCTGTTATTTTATCTTATATTATTCTCTATTAAAGTATAGATGAACATTCCATATAAGCAGCAAAAATAGATCACAACAGTGGTAAAAGCAGGAGAGCTGCAAGGGCAATTATATGCTCACTACAATATCATCTTGGATTCTAATAATTGTTAGGGCTTTACGCACAACACAAAGGAATCGGAAAATGACACCTCATCTTTGACCTGAGCAAGTTCTCCTCTCCTTGGGCAGCCTGGCTTCCCAGTGATCACCGCATTGATGCTGAACTTAGTAAAAATACATGATTGTCATATTATACTATAGCCCACAGCTTCCAAGTCAAGAAATCTACCAGCTATCTGAATATTTGAAGCACGCACAACCTAGTTGTTCCTGTTTGTTATACTCTTATTACTTCACCAGATTTTTGATTACTCTATGAAAAGTTACATTATCATTTATTGTAAGTGGGCATATTTATTACTATTTAAAATCAAAAGGAGGCAAAGAAGTGTGCCAAGTTAAATTTAACTGTTTCTTTTTCTTTCAAAGGTTTCAAGCTTGGCAGAAAAATTGGAGGAAAGTGTATTTCCTGTTTATGACCATAATAACAAGCTTATTCAGGATAAGCTGCAAGAGCTTTCTGAGATCATGGAAAAGATCAGACAGATTGAAAATGAACTCAAGCAGGTTTGTCATACCGTGGAGATGATGTATAAAGACCTGTGTGGTCAACCTGAATTGTAATTTCGTGGGTAAAAAAATAAAGGAGGGGGAAAGAATACAGTAAGAAAGAAAGAATAAATAAGTACATAAATAACATAAATAAATAGATCTGTGTGCCAGTAAGTAGTAATTTGACTTCTTTGAATTGCAAAATGGCATCCAAATCTATTGTGTTCGTAGGTAGGTTTATTTTCAAGCACTCTTTTGATTCTTCATTACTTATTTGTAAATGAATCACTTTCTAGTTCATAATCTCAATAAAATTTGTTGCATTAATATACAGTAATTTACTTTCTTTTTAAAACATATGAACTATTATCAGTACTTACAGAGGTATAAAATCAATAAATGTCCTAGTAAATGTAGTCAGTATCTACAGTTTTCCCCAAAATAAGAATATTTTGGGTTTCCAAAATATTGGGTTTCTGTCGTGATGGACTCTTGTGACGAGCTGATTGACAGATGATGGAAGCAGTTAGCTTCCTCCCATAATTGGGGCTTACCAGGGGTTGTGACACTAAATATGTGTGTGTGTGTGTGTGTGTGTGTGTGTGTGTGTGTGTTTTAGGTCACTATTATTAAATTATTAATAAATTATTCCATTTATTTTTTGTTTCTTTCTAAATATTTGGCAAGTAGGATCTTTCAGGAAAGTTATCTAAGAGAGTTACAGCTGATTTCTTGACACAGATGTTTAATTCTCCATTCTTTTGCCTTAGGCTATGGCTGTGCAGGCACTACTTATGTTGCATATGGACTCCTGGCCAGGGAGATTGAGAGGGTGGACAGTGGCTATCGGTCAGTCATGAGTGTTCAGTCATCTTTGGTGATGCATCCTATATATGCATATGGAACAGAAAAGCAGAAGGAGAAATATCTGCCAGGTCTGGGTGAGTTAATAGTTTAGAAGATTGAACGCAGAAGATTGCTCTGTAATTATACCAACACTGGTATGTTTTTATA